TGCAATAAGGGTTTTTGAAAACTTGTTAGCCTAACAGTTTTTCAAAGTCCGTTTTTGCTGTTTGTAACGTTTAATGTAATGATTGAGAGACATATTTGTTTGAAATGAAGCTGTGATTTTGTTATTTCCCAGTGAATGTTTCGCTAATGTTATGCTTGACTGCGAAAAAAGACGTGTTGTTTAATAAAATGAACCAGACAGCAGTGATGTCACAGATACTCAGTCTGAAAATTGCCTATTGTTTTAGGAGTTTCCAATCAGATTTTCTTTCAAAAAAAGTGTTATCCGAAATAGACTTTTAAGTTAAAAATACCTTTTGCAATTAATTTTCGCTATCTCTTTATCGCGCTCTTTTCAAGTGGAATGCAAGTCTACTTACGTTAACAGGAAGTTCTTGACAAGATAGGACTTCCTCCAATGATCTTGAATAGTATATAAACGATTTTTATCGTCCTGCGTTTACAGTCAGAAAGATCAACAGCAGGTGCGACACATACTAGGAATTGTTTTATTCTCCACGGAACGTAACTACAATGCTTAAATTACGGCCAATCTCTTCCCTTGTAGACAGTATGACTAAAATTATAGTGGCAGGGCTTAAGCCATTACAAAAGATTACACTGAGAGCCAACATAGTCGGCGACGGCGGAGAAATCTTTCAATCTCACGCCCACTACATCGCTGATAAACACGGTGGAGTTGATGTTGATCGTGACTCGTCCCTGGGAGGATCTTACAGCGGTGTTGAACCCATGGGATTGTTATGGAGCATGAAACAGGCTCCAGAACAGAAAAAGGGTCTTCGCCTTTACAAAAGAGATGTTACCAAACCGTATAACGGCGTCTTAAGCTGCTTTGATGGTCATGTAACTCCGCACCAAGAACAACCTGAGTTGCAGCCACTATCAAGCACCACATTTCAGAGGTGGTACATGGCAGATGGAGTGAAAAGAATACCTGTAAGAGAAGGACGAATCCGAGGAACGCTGTTTCTTCCTCCTGGTGAAGGACCATTTCCTGGTAGGTATTCATTTATTATCCACAGCCAGTTCGTAATCGCAGAACTAGTGTGCCCGACTGGTTTTCTAGAAGCAAGCAGCCATTAGACACCTTTAAGGGGGGCCATAATTTGTGAGCCTTAAATCTTATGTTGAATATTAATTTAAAATAATAATTTGTTCTTACTTTAGTTAAATTAAGCAATAATGAAAAAAACATTAGCGATGATTCAAGAAGTAGTTGCTAGTTAGAAATCCAAATGTCCAATTCACTTTGCTGTCGCGTTTCTCGATGACACAACCGCTAATATTTGTTTTTTCTTACTTCTGTAAAGTTTACAAGAATTACTTGTGGTTTAAAAATATAAAAAGATATAAGGCGTTAATTTCAAGGATGACAGATTTGGCTGATTTTTGCTCATATCTTGCTGGCAAACATTAAATTGTAAAATCTACTCTATACATGACGCACTAGAGGTTTTGGTGATCGTTTATTAATAAAATCACAGGGTGCTGCCTTCTATTCTTTCCGCACACTTGGACACAAAGTCACGATTTCCCAATTTTTCGCAACTGTGGCTTAAAGCATTACCGTAAGGCTCGATTTACTAAATAAAAACAACCCTTCTAAACTTCCACCATTTTACGGTGTCTCTTTAAAAATTTATCTAAATCGCCTGTAAAACAGCCGAAATATAAACGTTTTAAGAGATGTAGTGCAAGCAAAATTTTGCCTTGTGAATTTATTCATAGATTGGTGTTCCCCGCGGCCTTAAGTACGCGCATTCGCCGCGCATTCGCGTTTGCCTTCTGGTCCCTCCCGTGACCTTATTACAGTTTTTGCCATTTCTTGCATACCTATAGTCGTGGCTTTTTCTAACACTAATTTAAGCTAGTAACGTTGCCGTTCCAGAGAATGTTTCAATCATGGTGGTATGTAGATTCATTGGAAACAATTAGCACAACGTCAAAACAATGATTATCGCTAGGCAGATTTTTTTGGCCTATTCGTAACTAAAGCTACAATCATGGACAAAAGTCTTGGGACAGTTGTACAGGTCGAATGCTTTTTAACACACGCGAAATTGCGATCCGCGCGCTACTAACACTGTACATTCCTACCCCCTACCCCCACCCCACGGAGTGTGTTGAAACCGTCAAAGCACAATTCCTTTGATCTTTCAACATTGTATTGGGTTGGTAGGGAGAAGGGGACATGGATTTGTAAAATGACAGCACTGCTTTTTGCGACATTACTTGTGAAACGCATTAAATTGAAGTTACGCTCTGACTGTCAATTCTGTGCGTTTCACAAGTAATAGAGATCTTTAGCATCAGGCAAACCGCAAACCGCAGTTTGCAGTTACGCTTTTGCAGTTTCGCGTTGCCGAGATTTCATATTTTAGCAAGGCGTTCAGTTCAGTTCATTTCATTTTTATTTAGCCAAAATATATATAGGTTATTCACCGGCTGGGAGGTCCGTATTGGAAGAAACTGTGCCCGAGGTCTTGTTTCCATTTTTGCTGTCTGAATCTAGATTCTGCCGTCTTTCATTGAATTTTGCCTCGCTAGTTTTCCACTTTTCAGAAAAGGTTGTTGTCAACGATTGCATGTAGCTTTCAATCGTGAATAAACAACACGAACAACTTTTCCAGCAGTCGGTTATCGCTGTTTTTATTTCTTTGTTTATATACTTTTTTAGTTACTCACATCGCCTTCTTTTATTCGAATTCACTTGAAAACCCTAAGATTGGTATGTGTAATTAGCTCTTTTTATAAAGCCTTTGTGCAGTTTTAATCCCGCTCGATTGAATATAATTAATTAATCTTAAAGTAAATATTTAGCCGAAGAAAATCTTTGATGTATTTTCTTTCCTGTGGCTTTTAAGTTCGTCAATTCTTTTATCCTTGTTTGACACTCAGATTATGAATTGTCTACCAAGACACAAGAACTTTCTTTATTCTAAAAGAGAGCTTAATTGTGATAATATAAATTACAAGTTAAAAATCATGTTGTAATGTTTTGTTTTGGTTTCCAATCGATCGCGCGCTTTGACTAACATCAACACGAACGCGCCCTTCTTCAACACACATAGGTTGGAGGCTGAAGTAAAATTTCCCTGAAACTTTCAAATCTCAGTAGGAAAAAAATGAAAATGTTATTCACCGGCCTAGGTCGGTCCGTATTGGGAGAAACTGTGCCCTCGGTCTGAGTACCGCCCTCGGCCTACGGCCTCGGGCGGTACTCGAGACCTCGGGCACAGTTTCTCCCAATACGGACCTCCCAGCCGGTGAATAACATCTATATATTGTACATTACTTATCAATAAACTTCAATATTAAAAAAAAAAAGTCAGTGAAAGTTTGACACATTACTCCAAACATCACGAAAATTACATTATGAGTTTTTTAAAGACTTGACAGAGCCGTTGAGATATATCGAAAAGCGTTAAAAATCAAGATTTTGCATAAAGTTGCTCTTGGAATGGCGTTTAGACAAAACGTATGTTTACAAAATGGCAAAAATGGAAACACACGAAAATTTCCCAGCATGGAAATAGTGATAATGAACAGCACGGTGATGCTACTTTAAAGTAACATGGATTGTTTGAAATTTGCTGTTCGTTCATTTATCATGACTATTGAATATATATAAGGTTTGAAAATTATTTGCGTTTGATATGAATTCAAACATACAGAATATTTTTATTCTCACTGAGGTTATTTGCCAAACTCCACTATATAAGTTCCTGATGTTGGATTTTCCACGGCAGGGCAAGATGTCGCAAAATTCGTGTTTAACTGATTTCAAAGATCTTTGTTTATCGTTGTCATGGTAAGATCGATTTTAACCTTGCAAATTCATTTTGACAAACTTCAATCTAAGGTTAGAGAGTGGTGAAAATTTTGTGGCGACCGGACAAGGATGAAATCGCTTTTAAGGCGATTGAAAAATATCGGTATGTTTGGTATGGTCTCCGAAAAATTGTATCGAGACACTTTAACTTTTCGATAATGAAACAGCGAAGGCATAAAAAAATCATGTTTCGTTTATTTTCCAGGTGTGATAGACTTGCTTGGAGCCACCGGCGGATTAGTGGAATTCAAAGCTGCCCTACTGGCGTCTCATGGATTTGCAGCTCTCGCATTGGCTTATATAGATTATGATGACCTACCAGCCTTTCCACCGTACCACGAGATGGAGTACTTTGAAGATGCAGCTAATTGGCTGAGCAGTCATCCTAAGGTCTTACCGCATGGGATTGGTATTCACGCCATCTGCTATGGAGCAATGATTGCTCTAATGATGGCAAACCTTCAAATGAAACCTGTCAAAGCCATCGCTGCCATTTCTCCTCTCATACATGTGTACCCCACAGCCTTTAAGTACAAAGGAAGTTTCATATCAGAGGTAGCCCACTTTGATCAAAGTAAAAAAGTACAGGTGAAAGATGGAAGCATCTGTCGTAATGTTTTTCCAACAGCCACTAATTCAAATATTCCAGAGTCAAAGTACCCCTACCTTGCACCAGTTGAAAATCTTTCCTGTCCGCTCCTGCTTGTTTATGGAACTGACGACCTGAATGTTGATGCCACTTTTTCGGTAAATCTGATAAGAGATCGTTTAAGGAAGCAGGGCAAAGAAAACCAGTATTCTGTCTTACGCTATCCTGGTGCAGGGCATCTCATTGAGCCACCTTACACACCGCACTTTTATGCCACCTACGCAAAACGTGCAGGAGCAGTGACGGGCGACCACCACATAGTGTGGGGAGGGGAGACAAATTGTCACGCTAGAGCACAAGAGGGCGCTTGGCCAGAGATTATTGGATTCCTGAGAAATAACATCAGTTTGCAGAAACCGGAAACGGGCTTTGAGGAAGTCTACGCTTCCGGGAGCCTTCGGTAGTGTTTGAAACTGAACGTATTTTGTTCTTTTTGGTTTTCCTCGATCTGCCATTTCCTATTCACAAATTTTGGGTCCACTTGCAAGGATCTCTGCATCTAATCTGTATAATAAGTAGGTTGCACAAACGAGCCACTTCCGAAAGCGAAAAAAAAGCAAACGCAGAAGATTTATTTTGGTTCTCTCCAGACCCCCCCATCCAACAAAAGCCTGGTTGCCTTGAGGTCTTGAAATCCGTGTTTTTCGTGTTGTTTTGCTGTAAGCATATCTTTTAGAACAACAAATTGTTCGCGATAGAAAACAATTTTCTGCAAAAAAGAAACACATCAGCCTTTCGTGAAAATATAGGTATAAAGGCATTAGTTAAGAAGACAAAGACCTTATTTGACGGTTTGCAAACAGAATGAAAGAGAGTTAGACACCCAAGATGTTTTTTAGGCGTTACTTTGGCTAATCCGTAAGATTAGCCGAGGAGGTACTTAGTCCCTATAATGGTCTGTTCGGGGAAACTCTGCCGAAAAGGGGTTGCGTACCTTTGTATTTGTGGTCTCGGAAAGGGCCTAACAAAGGTCTAAGAAGTTTATTTTATGGCGTAAAAGACGGTGCATTTACACAGCAGGTATAAGGCTTGCAGCGTCCTATATAAATTAGTTAGGTATGCGAAAGGAGTTCCATCTGTCATTAGAAGGTATATAAAAGGGGTACCTTTTTCTGTAGCAAATGCTAATCAAAGGGTCACAAAGAAGGGGTTGGAATTCGAGGCGGAGCTTCCCCGTATAAAACGTTGCTGAGTGCCCCTCCTCCTGGAGATAATAGGGACTTTTAGCACCGACGGTTTTCAGGACGGCTACGGCGAACTAGATCGCGCGGGACTGGGGATACAAGGCGCCGTCCGCACAAAAGCCCGCGAAAATAAAAATAGTTTAGCAACCAAAACAATCCCTGACTACGGCGTGAACGAAATAGTCGGAGAGACTCGGACACAAACCTAGGTATTTAGGGGAAAATGTCCCTAAAGAAGGCTCGAGAACATTTGCTCTATGCATTAGATGAAAGGTTAATTACAGAAGAGGAGTTTCTACTCCTGTATGATGTGAATAGGTCAACTAACTTAGATTTTCCTCACGAGCAGTACCCACTTTTTGATCTCGACGACATGCAAAACGACGAGTGCTTGGCGGAGTTTCGGGTCCATAAACACGACCTTCCTATTCTAGCGGAGGTTTTAGGAATTCCTGACCAATTTGTCTTGGAACAAAGAAGTGTTGTAGGAGGAATGGAGGCACTATGCATGTTGCTGAAGAGGCTGACATACCCGTGTCGATACAGTGATTTGTTGCACAGGTTCGGACAACGACCTGTATCGGTAATTTGCCTGGCTACAAACTGTGTTCTGGACTTCATTTACGAAGCCCATTGCCGAAGAATTACCGACTGGAATCTGGTCGTATTGAATCCACCTGCCCTGCAAACGTATGCTGATTGTATACATCAACATGGAGCACCTCTAGACAACTGTTTTGGTTTTATCGACGGGACAGTGCGTCCGATAGCCAGGCCAGGAACAAACCAACGAATCCTTTATAATGGCCACAAGCGGGTACACAGCTTAAAATTCCAGGCTGTAGCCATCCCAAATGGTCTTATCGCCCATTTATATGGTCCAGTTGGTAAGAATCTGATGTATGATCTCGTAAAAATAAAAAACATTTGCTAGGATTACTGTGAAATTTTGCCAGTGAAGTGTCCCATATTTGAAGAAGATTAATGCATATAAAACATATCGGAAAAAAACAGGTCAGAAACAGAAAAAAGTTTTACAGTTTTACACTGAAGGAGGTTTACTATGTTTGCCATCCATATACAGGAATTAGCATTTCCCAGTCAGAATGCTTGACCATACCGAAGGCACTTTCCTTTTTTGCCTTTCAGAGGGAAGAAAACACGACGCTGGAATGCTCAGAGAATCAGGATTGCTCCCCATGTTGCAACACAATGCAATATCCCCTACTGGCCAACCACTGTGTGTGTATGGAGACCCTGCGTACCCTTTGAGGGTCCACTTGCAAGCGCCTTTTCGACAGGGTGTTGGGTTCACTCCCCAAATGGCTGCTTACAATAAAAGCATGAGTGAAGTCAGGGTCTCCGTAGAATGGTTATTTGGGGACATAGCCAATTATTTTAAATTTCTGGACTTCAAAAAAAATTTAAAAATAGAGCTCAGTAGTGTTGGGAAATTATATGTGGTATCTGGTCTTTTAAGAAATGCACTTACTTGTCTTTATGGCAATCAAACCTCCCAGTTTTTTGGACTGGAGCCTCCACACATTCAGGATTACTTTGCATGAAGAGAACCATAAAACCTTAGCAATCATTACTAGCTTTCCAACTGGACAATGTAAAAGGGTAATAAAACCATCCAGCTACAGCCTGTAAGTTTAGACTGTATTCTTTGTCATGTCCATTATACAGATATCTGATTTTTTTCCAGTCAGCTCAAGGGCATTCTGTACCCTTGATTGAACCAAACCAGTTATCTTACGGTTCTTTTCTTTTCACTGTATACAGTCAACATAACTGTAGATCAGATGGGTTTACTACAAGATTCTTCTCTGTCTTTTTTTTAATTGATGTACTTCACAAAGTTAAAATCAAAAAGCAATGATAGCACTGTTTATAGATGTTGAGAGGTTCTAAAAACCATTCTTGAGCAGAATAATCATTGCCGTTACTACTTGATGTAACTTACTGGGCTACCTGTAGACATCAACTGAAAATAAAATTGTAGTCATGCATAGAACTGTAGTCATCGAAGAAAATCTCTGCATTTAAGTGCGGGATTCTCATTAATAGTTTATTTAAGGCAATCCACAAATACACCACTATCTGACTTCATTACCAGTCGAGAGAACAAACCTGTTTCCAAAGGTTGTTTAATGTCCAAAACTTGATAAAACTATACTCAAATAGATTACAACAGATTAATTAATCAAATCTACATGACTATTAAATGGACCCTGCCAAGCTAAAAAGGGCAAGACAAAATGTCATATTTCACACTGAAGGGTACTTTAAAGCAACGAGGAAAGTTTTTTACTGTGGCTTTTTAAGAAGACTTTGCATTACATTCATAAAATGTGGTTGTTGCTGCATTAGCAAAGCTGTCATGTTTTGACTCTGCTGTTGCTGTTGTTGCATTACTCTCAACATCTCCTGCATCTGGGTCTGGCCTTGCTCTGCCCGCTTTTCCTGTAGTGCCACCTCTGCCTTTTTCAGTTCCAGTTCTTGCTCTCGTACCTTTCTTTCTGCCTCGCTTTTTTCTCTAAGGTATTCTATAGTCTCATCTCCACCTCTACGTCTTCGTTTAGTGCTCACTGCCTCACGCTCTGTCCCTTCCTGTCGTTTCTTAGTCTGGCTTACCCTTTCCATAGCTGTCTTTCTAATGCTTTCTGCCTTTTCTCTGTCTTGGTTATCTTTCTTAGCAGCTGCAGCATTCCTACTCTCTTCGCTATCTTTCTCTTTCTCAGTGATATCTTCCAATAACCGGTCCAATTCTGACATTTGTGTTGATGTTCCACTGCTTGCCTCATCCTTTTGTTTTTTTTTTTATACTTAGCTTGTAATAGTGCAAACCTCTCCATCACTGATCTCTGCTTTACGGCAAACTTTAATTCTGCAGAACTATTGAGCGACCTTGCTATCTTCGACCACACTTCACCTCTGTCAGGACTTCCTTTTTAAATTGAAAAGGGTCCTCAAACGCAGTCTCTCTCAGCAACATCAAATCATGGTCTTGGGTCCACTCCATTGCAGCCCTACAGTAAGACAAAATAATCAGACACGAGTTTTTAACCTGACTAGCCCCTCAGCTATTCAGGGATTCTAGATCATGGTTTAGAAATAACGTACAAATCATTGAATCTTGGAAACGATGCTACAAATCAACAAACAGCGAAACAATTAGGAAAATTCAACCGTGATTCCACTGATTCCAGCTTAAATCAGATTTTTACAATGTTCGCTCAAATAAAAATTGTCAGTCAAGGACTGCAAGTGGCTACAGCTATAAGTTTAATTATTCTTTCTGTTTCATTTCCTATCTTGCACTGAAAAACTTGTTCGCGACAGTAGCCACTTGCAGAGAAATTTAAAGGAGGATGTCCTTCAATGAATACTGCCCGTTATCACGTCCAGCAACTCATATGAGCACGTTTAAATGCTTCTCGCCTTTCATTTTGATGCCCGACTTGAAGCTGAACACCATCAAGAGTTGTATATAAAAATTAAAGCAGCCATAGGCAAAAAAGGCATGTTTTGTCTGGTTATAAAAAAGATATTCGGCGACTGAAACATAACAATAGATAAAAACTTGAAAGAAAAACCCTCTTCCAAACGTTAAGAAACAATTTAGATAAAGAGTATTAGCGTTATATATCAAAATGAAAACGGAAAGGACAAGCAAAATCATGTACAAAAATAAACTCACTTGGGATGCTTTTCGACCGACATGTGTCTTCCACACCTGTGAAAAAAGCGTAAATAAAGGAAAAATATCAAACCAATTCTAAAGAAAACTGGTCTAAATTTATGAAGAAAAGGAATAAGAAGTTGTTTTTCAAATGAAAACACTAAAAGTCAATTAAAAGGTTAATAAAATACTCACCTAAAACTCCCGTAGTCGCCAGTACGTCAAACTACTCGGTTTGCCGTACTAGGGAAGGCCGCTACGGTGGCAAGAAACCGAGGGTGACACTCGCGCGCGCGAAAAAGAGTCTGACTTCATTTCCGGTTCCCGTAGCCGTCCTGAAAACCGTCGGTGCTAAAAGTCCCTAATATTACTTATCATTTACATTGCGCAAATTAACATAAAAATATGACCAAATGCGCATAGTATGCATGCATCTGGATGGAGTACAACTGGCAGAAATCAAACCTTTAAGCTAAAGATTTTCACCTTTACTTGAAAATATTGGTCTTAACTTACAATATAGCTATTAATTGAT